TGTACAGAGCTGTGGTCAGAAGCCGGGCGGGCCGGCTGGCGGCAGACACGGAGGCGGGGCCACTCAGAAGCCGCTGCAGATTCCCACGCAGAGGCCAGGCCTCCCGTGGTCGCCCTCCCCTGCACTGCCGGCCACCTGCCACCCCTCAGAGCCACCACACTGCGAGATGCACGCGCTACCTAGCAACCGTGGCGCAGGAGTGACGGAGTGGTGTGGATGCAAACGCACACGCTCACACGGACACACGCATTTCCCCGAGTGGGGCCCTGGCTGCTGTGGAAGCCCCTTGGGGCTTCCTGTGGGGGCCTGGGGGACCCTGCACCCCACGGGCCCAGGATGCCAGGAAGAGGACAGGAGAGGCCCAGGGAAACTGTGGGTGCCAGGAGAGGGGCAGGAGGGGCCGAGCGCCTTTGCCCCCCCAAGTCACAGAGCTGCTCAGGCCTCAGTCCCAACCTCACCCAACACCACAAGGGGCAGCAGCCCGCACCTGCCTGGCCTCCTCTTCGGGTGCAGTGTTGCCCCTGAACCATTCTCCTCCGATTTGGCCGCAGAACGAGGCCCCGGCCCACGGTTCCCGCCTCTCACACACAGCTGATTTGCCCAATGCCGGGGGCCTGGGCCAAGGGCCTGTGCTCCTGGTCCCTGTGGTTGGCCAGGAGCCCCACAGCAGCAGGCCAGGTGGGGTTAGCGGTCCCCTCACCAGCAGCAGCACCAGTCACATGGCCAAAGGAGGGGACAGCCCAGTGTGCACTGACCCTCAAAGGGATCAACTAGACACGGTCTGTCCACAAGTGGAATAGTGCTCGGCCATGAGGAGCAGTGCTGTGGTGGATGCTGAAAACACGGCGCTGAGAGAGTCCCGAACAGCCAGCCGCAAAGGTGCAACTCGTTTTATGAAACGTGGAACCCATAAGGACAGGCAGGTCAGTGGTGTCCAGGGCCACTGGGAGGGGTCGCCAGTGACTCTGCAGTGATGACAGCTGGCAGCATGGGTACGTGGAGGCTGCATGGTGCACTGACGGGCCAGGCCCTCCCTGACTAGCTCACCGTGGGCGGGGCCAGGACTGCAGGACCCGGGCCAGACTCGGAGCCTCTGTGACACACAGAGGCCAGGCTGTCCTCCCCAACCCCCACACACAAGGCCACAGCCCTGCCCAGAAAACAGCTGCGCCCCGGGGGAGCACACACGAACCCAGCTTCCCACCCCAACTTCCTCGCAGACTTCAAGTCTGTGCTGGAGGCTGATCTGCTGCATGGCCAACAACAGCAGTGCCACCTCCGCAAGGCCTGCAGCCAGACTGGCCAGCCAGGCCTTGGCAAGCCTTCCTGGGGGCTGTGGGCACCAAGGACGGAGTCCAGGAAGCACTGAGCCATTTCCCCTATGCCACGACCACTCCAGTGGAGTCTGCGTGACAATGCCGGTCACCTGGCAGAAACCAGACCCGAGGTATCGTCCCCACGGGGTTAAGCCTCCTGGAGGTCCTTGGCTCACACCGCATGCGAAGTCAGCCGTGAAGAGAATAGCTGGCCTCTCTGCCTGCAGTTTGGGGACATTGGGTTCATTTATAATTCTGTTCTATTTTGTCTTTATTACTATTTGTTCATTATCTGTAGAATTGTATTCTGGGCCCAGGAAAGGTCAGGAACAATTAGATGTTCCTAGAGATGGGGAGGTATTGAGGCACAAGAGGACGGGCGGCCAAAGTGCTGACCCTGAGCCCCGGACTGTGAAGTCCTGAAGGTGATCCTGAAGGTGACATGCTGAAGCCAGTCCTTTGTTTTACAAACTTCTCTGCGCATATAGGTGTGGTCTTACCTTGATTTAATGGTCTTAGCTTTTGTGATGGTATATAGGTGTGGTCTTACCTTGACCTTGTGGTCTTAGTTTTTACAGTACTACTGTCTATCTTTCTCATGCCTGCCTGTGACTGGAATCACTCTTGTGGTGTGCCCTTGAAACTAGTATATAAACACCTAGAGTTAGAAATAAAATTGCAGCAGCATTTGCAAACTTCACCTCGGTGTTGAGTGCTTTTGTCTGACTGTCATCGCCGAACCTGTTCCCACCTTTCAGAGAACCTGTATCTCCTCGTGAAATCCCGTGTTTGCTGCCCTACGGTCGGTAGCACCCCTACATCCCCAGCCCTTTTTTGTTTTAACCTTGAGACAGAATCTCGTTCATTTGCTAAACTGCCCAGACTGGGCTCCAACTTGGGATCCTCCTGCCTCAGCCTTCAGCATGGCAGCTGCAGCAGCACCTGAAGGCAGGTGCTCATGTGAACTTGGCATTGAGCTGGGAGCTTTCTGGAAAGACCCGTGTGGTGTGTGTTGCCTGTGTGCATGTGAGCCATTAGTGAGGGCCAGAAGTAGGTGTGCAGGAGGACGCTGCAGTAGGCAGGCCAGGCAGGGCGGGTGGGTCCTGTGTGCACTGTGCAAGATGACAGTCGTGTGTTGTCTCATCCCAGCAAAACACACAATACTGTAGAGAGATGTGCTTGTTATCTGTGGCAAAGGCCAGTAGCTTTCCTGTGTAGGGGCAATGACCCACCAGGAGATATAACAGAAGAAAAGTGCACTGCGGCAGCGCAGATAGAAAGACGCCACTCCCTGACACACTTGAGAGGATGCGTCAATGTTATAAAACTGCCTCAGTGAAGGCCTCACACCACAGTGCTCTCCTCGCACTAACACTTAGAGCAGCACAGCTCACACAGCTGAACTTTGGACTTGGCCCTACAACCACTGCCGGATGAATGGGTAGGAAAAATGTGGTGTCTGCATGGAATGGAGGACTACTCTGCCGTTAAGAAGGGTAGACTGGGCTGGGTGTGGTGGCTCATGCCTGTAATCCCAGCACTTGGGAGGCTGAGGCAGGAGGATCACTGTGAGTTCAAGACCAGCCTGGGCTACATAGTGAGTTCCAGGTCAGTCTCAACTACACAGTGAGTCCCTGTCCAAAAAACCAAAAAAAAAAGGGGGGGGTAGACTGGAGCCACTCATAGGAAAATGGATGCACCTTGAGACCTTGTGAAGAAAAATAATCAGACCCACGAGCTTCAATATGGCATGGTTTCTCTTATATGAGAAGCCCAAAATATAATAAAAAGCAAAGTAAAACAGAAGGGGAAACAGGAAGGTAAGTCTTTTGGAAATGGAAAGGGACCAAGCCCACACCCGTGTCCTCCAAACATGGACTCATAAAAAAGAAAAAGAAACAAACACATTTCTGCAATTGGGGGAAAGAACTCTTCTTAAATCAACTCTAACACTGAATGTGGTTACAATAAGTGTAAAGGCAGGATCTTCAGACCTCTGAAAGCTGATGCTAAACTTAGAAGCAGAAAATATAACTTGGATTTTTTCCCTATAAAGAGAAAAACAGCAAAGGAAAGACATGAGCCTGCCAGACCCTGAGCCATGTCACAGTCAGGCCCAGTTCTGGTGGTCACAGAGGTGGACACAGAGCTGCCCAGGCTGTGGCCCAGAAGGGGCAGGGCCCAGGTTCAATCTGCACTGCAGCAAGAGTGAAGAAAAGGGAAAGGCGGATCGTTTAGTAAATGATATTGGGACACCTGGGGTGGGTGGGTGGAGGAAACAATTCTTACACAAAAGTCAAGTCCAGAAAAATTGAGTACTTAAAAAGAAAAGAAAAATGAGATATTGTAGAAATCATGAACTTTCCTTTCATGCTGATGGAATGAAAAAGGACTTTCTACCCAAGACAGAAACCCAGGGACAGTGACAGGGAAGACTGGATCTCACTGCAGGGAAACATAAAACAGGGTCACGGTGGCCAGAAGCCGCTAACAAAATCAAAAGGTGAGTTACAACCGGGGTAAAGCCCTCCTCTTTCAGGCTCAGTTTTGGGTCTGGCTTTCCATTTGTGTTTCTGTTTAACAGAAACAAAACATGAAAAACGCCAATACAAAGTTGTACAGACATGGTCATTTATAAAGAATCAGGCCATAAATCACAACAAATTGCAGGCTTTAAGAAGCTAGCAGGGCCCACAAATACTCCAAATCCAGAAAAACACAGTTTTAATGAGCTGCCAGGTGGACCTTGAAAATATGTCGTGCGTGTTCAGTTTGGTTCACAAACTTAATTTTTTCCATGATTCTGGTCACTAACTCAATTGGTCATGAACTGAATCAAATTTTCCCATAAAGTTCAATGTCACCCTATGCAGATGGAGTTTGTAAACAGAAGCAAAATTGTGCCCAATGCTTCTGTTCGTGAGCCGAGGCACCACAGCATGGCTGTGTAATAAATGCGCCAATGATTTTGCGGCAGTGTTTTCTCTTGATAAACCAGAAAGCAGCTCTTCTCAGGAGTGTGGCAGTCATGATTTGTTTTGAGGTAACCTCGAAGGCTTCTCAGCTGGTGCCTTTCCTGGCCTCGCTAGAGCGACTAGGGCAGGGCTTCCTGCCAGTCTGAGATGAGGCCACCTGGGGAGACCCGAGGTGCTCCTCAGTGCCGCCCACACTGGGCACCCTGCCCAGGGACCTGGCCTCCCTCGCGGGGTGTCAAGAATGCCTGCACTCTGAGGTTTACACCCATGTGTGGAAGGAGGCTGAGACTCCTGGAGCCGGGCCTCAGGGGAAGTCACCCCGTGTCTAACACAAGATCTTACAGAACTGGAACCAGAACTGGAACCGTACTTCAGCTGTGAGCCTGCAGACCGCACACTCATTTTGGGCTGGGCCTCAAGGTGTCCAAGGCCTGGCCCAGCTGCCCTTCCCGCCTGAGGGAGCCACACTGTCCAG